GTCTTTTTGACAGAAATAAAGCATTGAACAATCACTTGCATTTCGGATAAACATCGCTTGCATTTTTTGGTTGTATCTGACACAAAAATATTGAAGATCATGCATTCATAACACTAGATCTGAATTAATTCTTATCAAAAGAAAATTAAATGTGTTGAAAAAACGTTTCTTCGTTCAAATATTTCCTCGTATTAGAAAACGTAAATCCATCAGTCCGTAGTTTGCAACGTAGAATATTAACATGTGTGCATTGGTTCAAGTTGTTGAACCATACACTTACAGTAAGATGAAATTATCAAGTTGAATTTCAAAGTAATAAAAAATGTTATTTCATCGGTAGTAGAATAAATGAATAATGATCAGAAGAAAAAAATAAAGGATTAGAAGATCTTAGTACTCAAGATCTGAGAGAAGATGTAAAATTAATTACTACCTTGATGTGGTGGTTGGGCCCGTGTTTTGCGATAACACAATCGAGCTATATAAACTGAAATAGTTTTTACTTTAGGTTCTACTGTACCAAACAGATGGATTGGAGAACGGTGGAACTAAAATCAACAACACTAGATATGAGAATTCAGTCCTCCTGTTAATTACACAGATGTATGATAGTAGTAAGGCGTTTCTTTCAGGTTATCACTATTAGCCGTGATAATACTTACTGATAATGGACGGATGGAATAAAGAAATGTAATCCCTAAAAATGCCATGCCTCACTTTACCCTACAGATTTTATCTTTAGAATACGGATCGAACAGATCAGAAACATTCATTTAAAAAGTTATGTGATTGGCCTCAAGTAATTGTGCATTGGGCTCTGCAATCACGATCCTAGATAGCTTTCATCAGGTCCCTTAATACAAAATATCATTTTACAGTGTGGGAGACCGGTACAAGATAATTTACCTCATACTTCTAAGATCCTTAAAAGAAAGCTTAAGAAATTAGTAATAATGTCAGAATTAAATAAAATAAAACTGTTAATGGTCATTATATGAATAAAAAAATGAAGAACTAAATCTCTTAAAGGACTCTGTTATGATGATTTGTGGAATTATACTAAAAATTGTTATCAAAACCTAAGCTTACAATATACTTTAAACTAGTAGAGTACAACTATCTATTGGATGATCCTTGAAATCCAATAGGTGAATTGGTTTATATTATTTTATTCGCTTTAACAGTACCTAAAGTGGTTCCAGAATTCATTCTACTATGCCCATTTTTAGATATTTTAAATACTACTACTACTACTACTACTACTACTACTACTACTACTACTACTACTACCACTACTACTACTACTACTACTACTACTACTACTACTAATAATAATAATAATAATAATAATAATAATAATAATAATAATAATAATAACATATTACTTCCTTACTTACGCCTGTTACACCCAATGGAGCATAGGCCGTCGACCGATACTCTCGAACCCACTCTGTCCCACTCTGCCTTCCTTTCTAGTCCTATCCAATTTTCGTTCATTCTTCTCATGTCTATCTCCATTTCTCAAAGTAATGTGTTCTTTGGTCTTTCTCTTCTCCTTCGGCCTTGAGGATTCCATGTGAGGATTTGCCTTGTGACGCAGTTGTGTGCTTTCCTCAATGTGTGTCCTATCCTCTTCCAGTGCTTCTTCCTGATTGCTTCCTCCACTGAAATCTGGTTTGTTCTCTCCCACAATAGGTTGTTGCTAATAGTGTCCGGTCAACGGATCCGAAGTATTTTGCATTGACAGCTGTTGATACACAGTTGTATCTTGTGGATGATGACTTTCGTAGTTCTGCAGGTTTCCGCCTCATACAGTAGAACTGTTTTGATATTTGTATTGAAAATCCTGATCTTGGTGTTGGCTTGTGGACAATTATTTCGAGTTCCAGATGTTCTTGAGTTGTAAATATACTGCTCTTGTATTGTCGATTCGTGCCTTCACATCTGCATCAGATCCATTGTGTTCATGAATGACGCTGCTGAGTTATGTAATTGCTTTCCCATCTTCCAAATCTTCTCCGTCAATTGTGATTGGATTGTTGCATGCTGTGTTGTATTGGAGAATCTTGCTTTTCCCTTTGTGTATATTGAAACCTACTGCTGCTGAGGCTGCTGCTATACTGGTCGTCTTCTCCTTTATTTGTTGTTGCGTGTGAGATAGAAGATCCAGATCATCTGCGAAGTCTGTATCCAGTGTTTCCTCCGCCTGCAGTCCCTCCGAGGGCTAATGCTGATCCCAAGCCTGGATAAAGTAGGAGGGTTGGGCATAGGGTTCGCGACGCCATCCAGTAGAAAACTAACTCGCTAAGAAAACGCTAACCAGAAAAAATAATGATATATTACTATAAGTATATTTAAGTTGTATATTTTTAGCAACTATGCAGATTGATTCATTTTTGTATTGATTGTTTGAATCTTCCCCTTGACTGTGATTGATCAGTCTCTTATTGGCATTTAGATTTCTGACGTAATTCTGTAAAAGCAATTCAAGGTTGATAGATAATAGTTTCGGTTTTATACAGTTGGTCAGTACTGATTAACCATGGGCAATTTTAAGTATTGTAATAGATTAAACTACCTTCAGTAACCACGATGTCTATTAGTTACAGTATTGAATTTACAATAATGTTTTTAATATGGGTGCATTCTGCAATTTTTTTCTTCTTGTAGGTTATTATGAGTGTAATTAATTTGTTCCCATTTCGTAGAATAACAAATTAAGACTCAAATTATGTGCTACATAACTCTGCCTGTAATTCTTCTGAAGCTACTGCCGGTCTCAAGCCCGAGTAAAGATGGTGGGTTGGGCTTGGGGTCAACACCGTCATCCCGTAGATAACAACTCTGTTAAAAAATCTTCTACTCATGTGCCATTTGGTACAGAAAATAACTAGAAAGCGACATCATGCCAAAAAATGTAAAGCCACCATCAAAATTTGAATTATTTTTTCTGGTTAGCGTTTTTTAGCAAGTTAGTTTTCTACGGGATAGGGTCACTAATCACATACCCAACTTTCCTCCTTTACTGAGGTATGGAACCGGGAGTACCAAACGTAAAGTAATCAAGTAAGTAAGTATCATCAAAATTTTTATTTTCGTTTTGCAATAAGTCTTAAAGTAGCCTCCATGTTTGTTCAGATCAATATTCATTTACCTTATGGAAGCTCACGTGCAATTAAGTTTCTTTACATTTAAATTGGTTAAGACCTGTTGTTAACTCTTTTAACGGATAGAATCATCCGTATAATAACAACTTATCTATACCATTATACATTTATTATTGTTACACTTGTATGAATATATATGCTTCAGCATTGCTTACTGCCTACACATATATTCATACTGATAGCTTTAGTGTTAGTCGCTTAATTAATTCAATGATTCATTCATTTCACTATGCACATTTTAATCCTGTCCATTGACTCGCCAACTAGCTCACTCAACTAGCTCATTTGACCTGCACACTCACTCGCTTGCCCGCTTTCATTTCAGCACTACTCTTTCATACTTGCTTAGTGTACCTATTATTTTGGTTATATGTGCATGGTGCAATAATAAACGTAATCAACACTTCGTAATCACATTCTGATTAATACACCGTTAGGGGTGTTATCTATTAACAGTTATCAGAACGAACTATATACCGTCTACGACACCCTGCATAGCATTCAGTTAATTATACTAATTTAACTTCAATCAATCCGCCAAAAAACACTAACAATAAACTGATTCTAAAACAATGTTTCAAACAATTATTTAAAGTCAGAAGGGGTTTTATGGATATTTTAGAAATTTCAACAGTTGAAATCATAAGTTAATTGAAGCTAGATCAGCATGGAAAACCTGGAAGTACTGGATGGCCGTATCGTCCTAGTATGAGACTCCTCAGCAGCTTTGTTTTAATCAACCAATTCAAATTTATGCATGCACCAATCCAATCACAATTGACGGAGACGAGTTGGAAGATGTAAAAACATTTGCATATCTGGGCAGCATCATTCATGAACACAATGTATCTGATGCAGATGTGAAGGCGCGGATCGGCAAAGCAAGATCAGTATATATACAACTGAAGAACATCTGGGACTCAAAACAATTGTCAACTGCCATACACCAAAGTCAGAATTTTCAATACAAATGTCAAAACAGTTCTACTGTATGAGGCGGAAACCTGCAGAACTACGAAAGCCATCATCCGCAAGATACAACTGTGTATCAACAGCTGTCAATGCAAAATACTTCGGATCCGTTGACCGGACACTATTCGCAACAACCTATTGTGGGAAAGAACAAACCAGATTCCAGTGGAGGAAGAAATCAGGAAGAAACACTGGAAATGGATAGGATACACATTGAGGAAAGCACACGACTGAATCACAAGGTTAGCCCTCACATGGGATCCTCAAGGTCAAAGGAGGAGAAGGTGGAGTGGAAGACCAAAGAACACATTACTTTTAGAAATGGATATAGACATGAGGAGAATGAACGAAAATTGGATAGGACTGGAAAGGAAGGTAGAGTGGGACAGAGCGTGTTGGAGGATGCTGGTCAGCGGCCCATGCTCTATTAAAAGTAACAGGCATAAGTAAGTAAGTAATTCAAGTTTATGAAATAAATATTTCTTAAATATACACACGAGTGAACATGTATACAAATGACATACATATTAAATAATTTATTCGGACCAGTTTTGTTTCGACTTTCTTTCTTTCTATCTTATGACCACGCACAACAATTCCGTTCACGCACACAAACACAAAAATAGATAAATATTCTGAATCTTTCTATACATTTGCCCATTTTATCTTATTTTACATGTAGTCAAGTGTAGATCTACACACACACACTCACACACACATACATACATACACTTTAATATATGCACATAAATAGTATTTCAATAATTTTATTCAAATTATAGTCACTATGTTGTATATTAACAAGTAAATATATTCCAACCAAGATTATTTCTCCTTTTACAATATTGTAATGATCATAAAATGAGTAGTTTAAAAGCAATTATAAAAAGTGTTGATATGCCTGATATAATGCAACAAGATGCTGTAGATATATGTGCTATGGCAATTAAAAAATATTCAATGGAAAAAGATATTGCAGCATTTATGAAAAAAGAATTTGATCGAAAATATTCACCTAGTTGGCATTGTATAGTTGGATCACATTTTGGAACGTAAGTTTACTTTACACTCTGTATATTTTCATTATAGTTATCCTATGATATTTTATTAAGTAGTTTGTAAGTATAATTTTCATAGAGTGAATGAATTCATAAAGTATTTTTTAAAGTAAAGATAGATAGTGGCTAGCAGTGGAATCCAGGACGAGCGTTTAATCTTATTTGGGACTTTTCAGTTGCACATATACCAACATGAGACTGACCAATTACTTACGCCTGTTACTCTTCGTGAAGGAGCATAGGCCGCCCACCACCACTCTCCATCCAACCCTGTCCTGGGCAATCCTTTCTAGCTCCGTCCAGTTGTAATTCATCGTTTTCATATCTGCTTCTATTATCCGACACAATGTGTTCTTTGGCCTTCCTCTTTTTCGCTTCCCTTCAGAATTCCAAGTTAGGGCTTGCCTTGTGATGCAGTTTGACGATTTGTGTAACGTATGTCCTATCCATTTCCATCGTCTTTTCCTAATTTCTTCTTCAGCTGGAAGTTGGTTTGTTCTCTCCCACAGAAGGCTATTGCTGATGGTATCCGGCCAATGGATGTTGAGTATCTTGCGTAGACAGCTATTAATATATACTTGTACTTTCTTGATTGTGGTTGTTGTAGTTCTCCAAGTTTCAGCTCCATACAGTAGAACTGCCTTGACGTTGGTATTGAAGATTCTCACTTTGATATTGGTTGAAAGTTGTTTTGAGTTCCATATGTTCTTTAACTGTAGGAATGGTGTCCTTGCTTTGCCAATTAAGACTGAGCAATTGTAGTTCTAAATAAAAATGGGAAGATACATGTAAAACAATATCAAGTGAATTTAATTCATAAAGTTGTTTAGGTGATGACTGTCTAAGATTATGAAATTTTGGATTAAGATAATAAAATTGTCCTTCAGTTTGACAATCACAAACAATTATAAACGAATCTTATTTTGTTGTAACCTCTTAAACATTTGAAATGTAATAAAGACCTGATGAAATTTACAACCTAATCTTGAGTTAATATGACAGATGGATAGAAACCGTTGTGTGAGCTTATTTGACCTTTGCGTATGTAATTGTGACGTAACTGGTTATATTTTAAGTAGTCCTATGCAACTTACTGACCTTTCATCCATATAGGCGTGCTTGAGTGTGTATATATGCAATGCTGATTTCCAAGCTCTATCAGTTTATTTCACTCATAGTTTATCTCCTCATATGAATTCATAAACTATAACCTTCAAGTTACATTTTGTATTTACCTTGAATTTACCTTTTATATACATTGGTTCCAAAGTACAATTCCTAGAAGTGTTATATATGAAATTAAATGATTAGGATATATGGCTCATAATCATTATCAGTGTACTCAGATGCTCCATCGTAAGTCTTCTATAAAAAATATGGATTTACCTCATATTTAATTTACTACTTACTACAGAATATATGGTCATGAATCGTTATCATTACATAACTAAGTACATGATAAAACGTTTGATTTCTACAATAACTTTCGCCTTACCGTTGAATGAACAGTAGCAAATACCTCCATAGTACTTAATAGCTGAATAGTTTGAATAACATTTGTAAACTTTACTTCCATTAAGCACGCAGGAAACAATAAGAACTGAAGTGAAATTCGGGCTTATAAATTGTAATTTTATGCTTTTTCACCTCTTGAAATACATATTATCCTTCTGGTAATTTAAAAACTCGATTCATGTGATATAATCTAGGTATTCTAATACACTTTACTTTGAATGAAGTTCTTTTTAAAAGAAATTCTGAACTTAAATGAATACACATGAAAGCAAAGTATAATTTTTCACCAAGCATTATCAATGTTTTCTCCTTTAGCTTATTTTGAGAGAATTCCCAGTATGATTGTATGGGATAGGGACAAAAGAGAGAGCTAGATCCATGTTTCCTATTCATTGATACTTGTTTAAATGGTGAATTCCTTATTCTGAGGGAACTTATACCTCTCAGAAAATCTTAACTACTGGCCTTAGCTGAAGACAATAATACAGAACTATTCAGAATTATATCGACCCACCATACGGTTGCCATATTTACATTGATTAGCCACTGAGTAATAACCAAAGTCATTTTACTGATTCAGTCGTAATGGTTGAATATTGTTAGAACCGTTTGTTATACAGGTACAGAATTAAGTGATAATTCCTTTGTTTACCACTATTAATTTTGTTACAATACAGAGTTACCAGCACCAATTCCTGGTTATTATAGCCTTTAATTCAATTCATTCAAATATACATTTTACAAAAGTTTTTCGGTAGTTAGTATCTCCTCTCATTAGTCTTCGCGAAAGTTTTCCACCAGTCTAGTTGCTACAACCACTTTTTTTCAATGAATCATAATTTTAATGAATAAGTTCAAAAGTAGTGGTCTCTCATTTCTTTCATGGATAGATAATGAGGAATGTTTAGCTATAACTGATGTTTCCGAACTAGTTCTTTGACATTTAGCATCTTGATAAGCTATAAGCTTTCTATCATAATAAATGGGTACAGTCTGTTAATATTTTACAATTATTCACTTCTAACACAGAAGAGTATTTTTGGCATCATTTGCAAAGGTGGTTAAACTATTTGACCAGACTCAACTAATGTGTGTAAAATTGTACATTTTTTCACTCAGTAGTGATTATCCAGTGGTCAACAGTATTTGATCAACAATTAGGACTAAATATCACAGTAGTATTTAATGTACAGTGAAAATTCTGATAGTTTAGATTATAAAATGATAATAATTTTTTACCAAGATTTATTTCAATACTTGAAATCATGAATCAATTGAAGCTAGACTACCATGGGAAAACTGGAAGCACTGGACAGTTCGAATTTCGCGGGGGCGCGGGATCATAGTTGAGCACTGCTGAAATGTCCCATACTAGGACGAAACGGCCGTCAAGTGCTTCCAGGTTTTCCATGCTGGTCTAGCTTCAATTGACTCATAATTTCAACTACTGAAATTTCTAAAATCTCCACAAAAACCTTTCTGATAAAGATTTATTTATTCTCTCTTGTATGTGTTTTTGTTGTTCTGTTCTAGAGACAAATTTTACCGAAAGTGAAAATAATAATAATAATAATGTTAATAGTTTTGAATGTGTTGTTAGGCGTGTTATTTATGTGGTTTTTGATTTAGCTATTGACATATTAGTCTTATCAAAACACTTTTGTATCATAGATAACTAATATGTACTTTAGAAAACTGATTGTTTTACTACAGTTTCTGAAATCTTATTATTATGGAAAACTTAATGAATACTTATAATATATCATATCCCTGTAAATAATTATACATTAATATTCAATGGAGGTTTGTTCTTCGAGCTGGATAGTTTGGTCGTGGAACTTTCATCGTACTTCTGAAGGACATCATCAGCAAAACCTTCATGTAGAAGTCATAGGACTGATTAGTTTGATAAATCATATGTTGACATTCGAAATAAGCGCAAGGTTATTATACCAGTATTATCATTATCATGTCAAGTTATTACTACTTATTTCAATAATATCATTGTTGTTATAAAAGATATTTGAGTTATTAATGAAAACCTGTTAAATGTTTATTAAATGTTTAGTCATTTTTAAATGAGAAGACAAAGATTATGCTGTGAAAGACCTATGCATTCACTTAACCAAATATTTAGCATTAAAGTTAAGATCGAATAAATAGGTTATGGAAATGTGTTGTTATAAGTAGCAATGGACGATTGTACACCTGGTAACAGTAGGAGAGTGTGTTTAAAGTATGAATGAATTGTCAGTACTCATAGAGAAAGCTAAGTCTTTTAAAAATCTATAAGTGTGTCGTTTTTTGGTTTGTATTGAAATATCTTAGAAGTAGCATATTCATAAAGCTATATCTTCTTCAGAAAATGGTCGTCTAATACTTGTATTTATTTGAGTCTGTGATTTTTTCAGTTTGGAATGTGTTTGGCTCATATCTCAACATGCTAATCTTGAAAGCTAGATTATGAATATAGCATCATCAATTTCATCTATTAATATTAGTTATGCTGACATGGGTCACAATGCTTCTTGATTGCAACCATTGTTGATCATTATATGTAACAATACTGAATGATATTCGTACTTTTGTATTCCATAGACGTTTGTATTTAAACTATTCACTGGGATATTTACACTAACATTTGAAGCGAATTATCAGTTAAATCCTTCATTGCTAAAACTTAAATACGGATTTATTATCAAGTGGCAACTTTAAGACTCTACGGAACATTCCATCGTTTGGCATGTATCTACCCACGTCGAACCTCCAAAGGTTGAATAGTGAAGACTTACTGTTTCAACGAAATATACCTTTGAACAAATTTCGATTACAGTAGGAGAGACTATAAGAAATCATACCTGGTGTACATATAAAAAATATCTAAACGTTACAATCAAACACCTCCTTAATTTACACGAACCCACAATTCAGTTCATCCCAAACATTAGGGTGCTTTCAACCTATCAAGCGTAATAAGTTTACTGATACTTCTGGGGTTTGGGCCCGTAGCTTTTATCATCAGATCAACCAACAAATTTGATGCTTACCAGCTTATCATCCAATATATAACTTAAAATATATACATCCTTTCTACTGAATACATTCTAACCATATTTTCCTTTTAACCTTTTTTTCTGTATAACCTCTTTCAGGTATATTTCACATGAAGCAAAACATTTTATTTATTTCTTTTTGGATAATCATGCTGTTGTATTATTCAGAACTGGAACAATCAATTGAAAATCAATATATGTAAACTAATAATCTTTTTATTGGACAATGATATCAATCTATTGTATCCTATTGATAACAGTACAAAGTTTGCTATTTTCTATATTCTGATTAAATCACCTTATCTATTCTTTTATGAAGACAAATCTAACGAACAATCAATAGCTCACTATATATACATATATATACTTTATGTGTCTTACATTTGTCGTCATACTACTTACTTACTAATGCCTGTTACTCCCAATGGAGCATCGGTCGTCGACCAGCTCTCGTGATATATTATTTCATATAATCAATATTTGACAAGAAATTCATATTTTCTATCACAATGACTATTTTTTTCTTTGAGAAAGAAAAAAACTCTTGTTCAGAAAAGAGCGTATTTTATTGTTGTTATTCTTTATATTTGATTAGAAATATGTTTGAAGTGTATGAGAATAAAATGATCTTTGTATGAATTAGTTATGTTGATGTAACTGTAAATATAGATATGAAGTATATTAGTTTGAGACAAATTTCAAAGTGTCAGAACTAATGGTAACAATAGGTTGTCAAGATGGAAATAGATAGAATAGATAAAGATGGATAGTGATTAGTAGTGGAATTCATGTATACGCGTTTCATCTTATTTGGGACTTGTTATCTGGATATACCTTCATCACAGATTTGATGTATACACATATGTCAATAAGAGACTGATCAATTTCAGTCTTAAATATCAATAAGAAGATTCAAGTAAAACAATACCAATTGAATTTAGATGAAACAAGATTTAAATCTTCAAAGCCAAACAACTTAATAACTAAGTAATATACATATATATGTAGTAGTAATGGCATTCAACATTTAAGGATAGTTGAAGTATAGTTGACAAATTTGGATGGAGTTTTGTACTCTCTACTAGATGGTTTGGTCGTTGAGCTTTTATCGTTCTTCTGAACGACATCATCATCAGAAACTTCAAGTAGAAGTGAAGTGATCGAACTTCTCGACATGTGATTCACAGTTTGTCTTGTAGACCTCAATGTTGATTGGTTCTTGTTGACCTTAAACCTGTCATTAGATGACAAAGCCAATTAATTGAATAACCTGTTACTTTGAGATTATGGTAGCTCCTGATTAAGACATTAAAACTAATATTATATTTGTTATTTGATTTATTTTGATTAAACATAAGAGTAATTAACTATCTTCTAGTTTCGTATAAGAAGTTTCCATGTCTGTTAATCGGTTAATTTAAATTTTGACCACATTTTTTTGCGATCTTAATAAATGTTTTAGTAAATTGAAACTTTTAATTTGTCCTGTAACTATGATGTTTATTCCACAAATATAATTTAAATTCATTCCCATTTTTGCGGTTTATCAAAGAAAATTAACCTTAACTACAATCATCATCCATCCGAAGATTTCAACATCAATCTAATGAAATCAATTCATCAAATTGTACTATGAATTTATAGAAATACTTAAGTAATAAATATCCTATTGAGATACTATATAATCCAGATTATAATAACTGAGTTTTTGATTGAGATCATGAACCGATTGATGTTGGACCACCTTTGGAAACTTAGAAGCAGTGGACGGCCGACTCATCCTATTATAGGACTTCTCAGCAGTGCGCATCCACGATCCCACTCGCAGGATTTGAACTCATGACCTTCAGTTTTCACGCGCGAACGCTTAACCTACTGGACCACTGAGCCGGCATCCAGTGGTGATAGTGTCTAGCATCAACCAATCCACGACCATCTTCCATTGTACTGAGGTAGATACCTGTCTCTACCCGACATGGATTAGCTCCACTGGTCACGGCTTCTCACTAGAACTCGGAGAATTTCCTCACGAAGCTAGCCATTAGTGAGGACATGTTTATTACTAGTATAGGGTTTGTGGAGATTATTAGGTTTTTGATTGAGATCATGAATTAAAATTCCCCTTCAGTTTTAATGATTTAAAATTTAGCTTACTTAAAAGAAATGTCCTAGATATAATAAGTCACTAGATCTATTCTCCATAACTGGCTTAGTATGTTACATTGAAACAACATAAAATGAACAAAAAAAAATAATTTAAAAGTTATTTATATGTTGAACTTTTTGAAGGATTATTTCTTGAGAACAGTACATATTTACAAAACATTAATTGTATTGTGGATTAAAATGACATATCAGATGAGTCAATTGAAACGAAATCATCATAGAAACCTAGAAGCACTAGACGGCTGTTTCTTCTTAGTGTGCAAGTTCTAAGCAGTGCTCATCCATGATCTGATCCCAGGACCAATCTGTGTCGCGCGCGAATACTTAACATCTCTCTATATATATACACAAAACTAAGGGTTCTATTCTGATGAAATATACTTCAAATTTGCTTCATGATAAATTACGTAATCTGGATGACAATTTTTTTAGCAAGGTTTAATGAAATAACCCATAGTATCGTTGAATAAGAAAGAAAGAATTTAGCGAAGATAATTTTCTTATCTACGAAATCATTCACTTAAGATGTACATCTGTATATATAATTATATATGGAAAATAGATGTAAATGATTTCATCGAAAAAAGAAAATTTTCTTGACTGCATTCACTTTTTCTTGACAAGATTTTCTTCTACAGGATGGGGTTGCCGACCTCACGCCTAACCCTCCTCCTTTACACGGGCTTGAGACTGGCAGTAACTTTAGAACAGCTACAAGTGGAGTTTTCATGATGAATTACTAATAATATTTTTTTCTAAATTTACACAACTAGATAACAGCTGACTGAAGTATACGGAACTGAAAGAATCAATATTGAATCGAAAAATTCTTTCATAATCATTTAATTTCTTATATCCGTAGTATAAACCAAGTCTTTGGAGATTTTTCCCTAACAAATGATAATAATTCACTTGGTATTGTTTTACTTGAATCTTCCCATTGATGATTAGGACTGCAATTAATCAGTCCCCTTATTGACACATGTACATACTGTGCTTATTGCCTCGATATTTCCTTAATTCACAAGCGTTATAGGCAAAGATGAACAGTGGCTAGCAATGGAATCTAGGACGCGTGTTTCATCCTATTTAGGACTCGTCAGCTGGATGTTCACCCCGGGACTCGACCCAGTATTGTTATTAACTGCAAATACATAGAAATAATTTAAAGTTGTAAAATCAAAAATATACAGAAAACATTTTTTATTTAAGAAAATGAAAACACGTTTGTTCAAATTATTTTTTGATGAAAATAGTTTATTAAGTACATCGATAAAGTAAAAGACTGACTTCTCCACAATGTATATAAATGAAACACTTTTCATCATGTGTGATTGACCTAAAAAAGAAAAAAAGAAGAGAAAAAAAGCTTAAGATAAAGTTAATTTGAAGTTTACTTCGTGAAAGTTTTTGTAACAAAATGATGCATTAAAACTGTTTCCAATGCTTGACATATACATTTGATCACAATTGATTGATCTTTGGGTGGTGATCAATGTCATGCGCGTCTAATCCTTATTAGTGCAGATTGAATGCTATCGATCATGTTGCAATGTGGCCACCAGTCTAGGTGACTCGACACTGCGGGCACTATGTATTGAGATTTAGATGGTGGTTGGAGGTAGTCAACAGGAAACCCAGGACCCGGGTACACCTTGCTGACGAGTGCCAAGTAGAACGAAACCCGGGTCCAGAGTTTCCTGTTGACTACCTCCAACCAACATCAAAATCTCATATACATTTGATTATCAACTTTGATTCGAATAAATGACCACTTGATTTGATCTAGTAAGCTCAGTTACGTTAATGTAAACTTTCCACTGAAAATCTATGGATGCGAAGGAGCATCTAGACTTTGATTTCTTATATTGTTTTAAAAGATAATTTGAAAAAAGAATACGAGATTGTGTAAAACAGCTTACAGATTAATAAGATGAATGCGAACATAATTAATAATATACAGAAACACTACAAATGGATTATTGATGAAAAATCAATACAGATATGTCTACAGGTTCGATTGTGTTGTTTATAACCGAATTTATATATTGAAAAATTGGTTCATGAAATTTTGACTCAAATATAAAAAAGAAACATCTATCAAAAAACACCCCTAACTAATCCTGTAGATTATTGCAATCAATAAATCAAACCAAGTACAGTAGCACATGATATATTTAACTACCATCGAATCAATATTATAAAAAAACACCCCAATCATTGAAAGGTGTTCTTTTTTTCTTCTAATTTACGGATAGGAGATTAATTAGTATAATTTACCCTGTCCTGTTATGTTCCATGGAAAGAAAAGCTTACTTATCCAATCAAATTCACAAATCTTTGCATATTGTCACATTAGCTAGTTTTAGATCTTATAATAATCATATACGAATTAAAATCATGAGTCAGTTGAAGCTAGACCACCATTGAAAACCTGGAAGCACTGAACGGCCGTTTCATCCTAGTATAGGACTCCTCAGCAGTGCACATCCACGACCCCGCACCACGCAGGGCTCGAACCCAGGACCTACTGGTTCCACAAAACCCATTCTGATAATAATCGACTGCTCACTAGTGACTGACTTCAGGAAAAACTTCCGAAGTTCTAGTGAGAAGCCGTTACCAGTGGAGTTCAACCAGGTCTGTTGTGAGATAGGAACTCACTGAAGACAATGGTGTACGGTGGCGCAACTTCATGGATTGGTTGAAGTTAGACATTAACACCGTTGTATGTCGGCTCAGTGGTCTAGTGGTTAAGGGCTCGCGCGCGAAGCCAGTAGGTCCTGGGTTCAAGCCCCGCGTGGTGCGGGATCGTGGATGCGCATTGCTGAGGAGTCCCATACTAGGATGGAACGGCCGTTCAGTGCTTCCAGGTTTTCAATGGTGGTCTAGCTTCAACTGACTCATGATTTCAATCTGTGAAATTTCTAAAATCTCCACAAAACCCATTCTGATATACGAACTAGGTAATGTAGGACATACATTAAGCAAATCATCAAACTACATCACGAGGCAAGCCCT